AAATATTTATTTTGTCATATAAATATTTGCTAGCGTTTAGTAAATATTTATTTGAAATAATAAAAAAAATAATTGAAGCAAACAAATATTTTTTCAAATGAATTAATATTTTATTGTATTCAAATAAACAACTTTTCGTTATAAGCTTTTATATTTTTGCTTCAAATATATATTTGTTAGACATAAATAAACATATTTTTGATATTAACAAATATATACCTGAATTAAAAATATTATTGTTTATTACAAATAAATATTTAATTTGTTTTAATAATTGATTGTTTCAAATTAAGTAAATATTTATTAGCGTCAAATAAATGTACTTTTTTCATTTAAACAAATCATTTGTTTGCTACTATACAAGTAAATAATTTGTTTGAATCAAACAAAATTTGTTTGAATATAGCATATTTTTTTTTCGGTGTACAAAAATAAAAAGAAAAGGAAAAAAAATCCAGGTGGACGCGTATACTATACACCATATAATTCTTGATGACACGCAAAAATACTACTTACGGCGCGGTCGTCGGCAGTAGCCGCTGCGTTAAACCTCGTACACTCTTTTTATATTGTACATAATATTATATTATTGTTGTACCGGCCAGTGTTACAGTCGCGCGGGCCGCAAGGAAAGAGTCGTAATAATTTTTTATCGCTTCTTACGATTCATTATCTACTGTTTTTTAACTTCATTGTTTCTCTTTCTCGTGGCCCGTATGTGTGTGTGCGCGCGCGTCTATACGTGCGTTAAGATACGTGTATTGTATAGATACACATCCGCTTTTCTCAAGGCAAGCAGCAGCAGCGGCAATTGAGCAATTAGACTTTGAACATTTTAAAAAACATACGATTACATTATTTCTCGCATCGACGTAACGACTCCCGAAACTGAATGAAAAAATTCGAATGTCGCATGCGTTAATGCATCATTTTCATAAGCTATCCGGCGTATCGCGCGCGTATCGATGTACTGCACAAGCCGGTGAAGTAAATACCTCAGATGCAATTAATAGCTTCTCTCTCTCGCTCCCACACGCGTATATATGGGTCTAAATCCCGCGTGCAAAACCGCATATATACAACAACAACAACGACTAACTCGACTTATATATACACTCTCGCGAGCTCGCCAGGCGCGCAGCACACATTTAACGACTGACACGCAAAGCGAGTCTTCGAACTAATTTGTTCTCTCTCTCTCTCTTTCTTAGTCCGGTCTCGCGAATGGTCCCGCGCACTCTCGGCCGCGCGCACGTATATATCCGCGCTGTATATATGTATAATGCATTAACGACACACGCTTTTAACTGTAAAACTTAATTGGCAAAAGAGAGAGAGAGAGAGAGAAGAGAGTAAGGTCCCGCGCTCTTAAAAATGATTCGCGAGTGATGGATGCGCTCGGCAAGGATTCCTGGCGCACGCGAGAGAGCTCGCTGTATCGCAGCACACAGCACACAAACACACACGAGTTTTATAAGCTTCCCGGAAGCGAGATTTTCGTCGTTTTGACATTTTTCTCGTTCGCTGTGTCGCGTTGCGCTCTGATTGCGCTCTCGAGACACGCGCACGCGTGTCCTAGTCAATTTTTACGCACACACAGGGGGTACTAGCTTTGATTTCTCCCTTCCTTACATCGTACACAATGCTCTAGACACAATGCCAACACACATAGATCCATTACGATTTTCGACGTGTCACAATTTTCAGCTTCGGCGATTTCTGTGTACATGATATAAGAGCAGGTTTTATCATTACATAAAAGATAAACACTCGTTAAACGCGTGCGCGGCCCGCGCTGTATCTATTCCGAGATTGCGATCGCGGTCTGTGCATATAGATACGTATGATATACGACGAATCGAGATACGTGTATTTTCTTTTCTTTCACCTTACAAATTGATTTTTATTATTATTATTTTTTTCTCTTTTTTTTGTTCATTTACTCTTAGTCGGCCATCGAAATATTTCAGCGGTACTTGCACACGACGACGAGTTTCTTTTCACGTACGATATATATAGCGTGCGTGGCTAATTTATTATTATTATTATTTTTTTTTTAAACGCGCGTGTGTAATGACTACAATGGGTCCTGCGCCGCCGTACGCACGTACACATACACACACATACACGAACGGCATAATTTTTACGGCCCGCGTACGTATGCGAGAGTGACTCTGCACAGTACGACGAAAGCTACTCCATACGACGAGATGCAGTTATGCGCGCCCGATAAAAGATTGATATTACATTGCACGAGAAGAGAAGAGAGAGAGAGAAAGTAGGCTAAGCGAGGAGCAAGTTTATTTTATATGTATAGTATATAGTTCGCGAAAACAAGTATCGATATATTTTACACCTTCTTTGTATACTTCATTTTCACATTCGCGTGTCCGCTGTTGTCTATATAAATTAGTCCGCGCGAGCGAGAGAGGTCCCGTATATAACACTGCACTGCTCTCTGGACGCGATCGGATTTATCCCTAAGTTGCGTGAAAACTCGTGTACGTACACGTACTCGCGCACAATAAAATTACCGGTGTATCGAGTCGATTGCTCGTTTCTTATTTTTTTTCTCTCTCTCTCTTTCTCTGGGCAATTCTGTCTCGGTAAATAGGCGTCGATGTATACACACACACATACAACTTTCTCGATCGTCGATATTTATCTTTCGTTTTCAAAATTGCGCGCCGCGATGCGTGCGTGCCTCGGCCATTATAATCAATGCGGCTATTTATACGTGCGAGCATTCGCGTGTGCAAGTAAAGCCACTGGACTTTTCTTTTGTAAGTGTATATAAAAATTCATCTCGCATTTTCTTGTAATGGACTCGCGCGATGTGTGTGTGTGCGCACGCATTCGTATATATATATAAGTTATGTGCAGCAGCGCCGAAGACGAGCGAGTTATCGCATATTAAAGCTCCGCCCGAAATTACACATGAGTTATTCGTGCGAATAGGTATAGGATATCGATGTTATACCGCGTGAATCACCAAAAGGGTTAAGAAACTTTCGAAACTCCCCTCCCCTCCGCGTCCGACTGAATATTAAGTTTTTTTTTCTCGCTCCGCGACGCAAATGTTTGCTCGCACACAGACAACATCGTAACGCATATATACGTTTCGCAGAGAATCCTTAAGTAGCCGACTGCGACGACGCATACCGCTACTGTCGCAACGAGTCGCCGTAGTACACATACATTATAATCCCGAAGAAATCGTTCGTTCACCTTTTTGCTTCTTTTCCCGACCGTGGTGACGATCGATCGATATAAGTATGTGTAATACTGCGCACGTTGCAAAACGACAGCAGCAGCAGCTTTCAAGGAACGAAGCTTTTCGTCGAAGATGATGATCGTTTTCCCCTCTGTACATATACGAGTGTATAAAAGTGCGAAGTTCTGTATTACAGGGTGTTTGCGATGTATACAAAAGAGATGGTATGCCCCTGCGTCGGGCGAGGGACTATCAGCTCTAAACAAGGTTGCGCGCAGACTTTTATATAGAAGCATCGCCGAAGATACGCGGCAAAAGCTCTTTACAGCTGAAAAAATGCCACGTCATTCATTTTTAATTAAATTTCATCATTTACGTGCAGTTATACATCCGAACGTCGAAATTATGAACGGAAAAAAGCTTTCATTCATCTTCTCTCGACTCTTTGCGTAATGTTGAGATGAAATTTGCGAGTGTTTGCGCATTGTATTCAAAGCACAATGAATTCCTATTATTACTACACAAGGGTCAAGAGTCACACGTCCTGTGATTAATTGCGAAAATAATCTCTTCGTTGACACGCGCAAGTTTGACCACCGAAATTGCACGACCTCGATTACGTAAGATCAACCATTTCGAATTGAATAATTGCGATTTAAAAAATCATCAATCATTTTCCTTCAGACACCAAATCTAATGAATATGGAATTTGGTATATTTTAATTGGAATAATTAACAGTAGAAAAATAAAAATTCATTGTTTTCTTTCAAATCAATTTATTTAATTCATAAAAAAAATAGGTTGAGATTAAACAATACCAGACATTCAAAAATACTACATATTTATCATACATGTTCTTCTCGAAGTATTGAAGCTGCCAAGCAAATATGATAAAAACTTTCGTTCGTCAGATCCTCAAGGAACATTTCACAGATCTCAAGTGGTAATCGTTTGTGTATCAACTCCCAGAACGAATACACTGCGCAACGCCGAAAAAATCCTCTCGACATTGTCTCGCACAGATGCACTGCACAAGCCTGGCTCACTCGGAATGACCAGCTTTTCTTACGCGTTTGCACGAACTTGTAATAGTCCGCGTATGTGAGCTGTTTCGCCGCCTCTTCTGGTCTCAACTGAATTAAATCGTAGACCGACATCTGCTCTTTTATCATCGTCTTTTTCATGTGTTGCACGAAGTAATTTTTTACGGACAAATTTACGTTAGGATTCACTGACTTGACGAATAATCCCTCCTTGGCGAAAAATTTCATGATCGTCAAGACTTCACTTGAATTCAGCTCGTATCCTCTTTTCTCAAGACTTTCAACGACGAGAAGAGCTCTAGACGCCAGTCCCAATCTTGAAGTGAGATCAATTGAATTATCATGCGATATATTTTTTGCGAAGTAATTCTCATTAGGAAAAACCAACTTAGACAGATCGGCCCCATGATCCAAGAGTGTATCGATTGTACACAGCATGAGATTCGCTACGGCCCATTGCAGCGGTGTCTGACCCACACAGTCCACGGCGTTGATCTGCACCGGCTTACCTAATCTGGCGTTGATAGCGAGGAATTTTTCAACTAAAAGGTCATCTTGGGGTTGCCGGCAAATAATATGCAGTGGTGTCGATCCTTCCTCGTTGACCGAATTCAAATCGGCGCCTCTTTCCAGCAATATTTCAGACGCCCATATGTTACTGTTTTTCAGAGTCAAGTGCAGTGGTGTGTTACCCTTCCTGTCGCGGACATTGACCTGAACTGCCTTTCTGTGCTTATCGACGATCTTGAAGAATAACTTCAGCAAGTCCAAGCGATTATCCCGGCACATAATGTGCAGAGGTGTCGATCCTTCCTCGTTGACCGAATTCAAATCGGCGCCTCTTTCCAGCAATATTTCAGACGCCCGCATGTTGGTGTTTTTCAGAGTGTTTTTCAGAGTCAAGTGCAGTGGTGTGTTACCCTTCCTGTCGCGGACATTGACCTGAACCGTTTGACGATTTTCGTCGGTGACCTTGAAAAACGACTCTATCAACTTATCTTTTTCGACTCTCTGGCAAATTAAGTGCAGAGGTGTCGATCCTTCTTCGTTGGCCGAATTCACATCGGCGCCTTTTTTTAGCAGTATTAAAGTCACCCACAAGTTGCCGTTTTCCAGCGCCAAGTGCAGTGGTGTGTTACCCTTCCTGTCGCGGACATTGATCTGAACCATTTGACGATTTTCGTCGTTGACCTTGAAAAACGACTCTATCAACTTATATTTTTCGGCTCCCTGGCAAATTAAGTGCAGAGGCGTCTGTCCCTGGGCATTGGCTAAAGTCGAATTTGCGCCTCTTCTTAGCAGCA